CGGGGAGACGCCCCTTGTAGGGCCCTGCCCCACGTTACATACATCGCGCAGCAGAGCGAGGAATCGTGCCATAAATGCAGACCTGCCCTAGTGCCAAGTGATTCTCACAGTGGTCCAGGTGGATCACACCATAAATGTAGACCAGCCACACGTGCCACGTTACTCTCACACTGGTCCGGGCGAATTGCGCCATAAATGTAGGCCGGCTGCATGTGCCAAATAATTTTCATGCCGGTCTGGGCAAATTGCGCCATAAATGTAGCCTGGCAAAGTGAGGCCCCTCTGCACCTCACACCAAAAATGTCATTCAGTTGCACCTTCAATCAAGTGATGGTGCGATAAAACAAGCTATAAGTTACAAAGTTATTCCACAAAACATGGAATAACTTTGTGGCTTGTTCTACTGGCGCCATTAACTGAACGTGCAGCCTGGTGCTTCAACAGAGGGGCTCCTAACCACAGGGGTGTCAACCCGCAGAGGTGGCAGCATTGTCAGCTGATGATGTTCACAACAGGGGCAGCATTCTCCCTGGTGCAAGCTCAGCAGCTGACAGCACTGTAGGGCTCGCAGGGGATGGTGGGGAGAACGCTGTCCCTGCTGTGAGCCTCGTGAGGTGTGGGGTAGGGCTCCCTCACGCTGCCCCCACTGCAAGCTCTGCCAAGTCCCATCAGCTGTGGAGCTTGTAGCTGCAGGAGCCAGTGCAGGGGGCACCCAGGATTGTGATCCCAGGCTTCCCCTGCACTGGCAATAAGGCATGATGAGATCTAATGTGCGATCCCACAATTGCACCTCCTGCCACGCATGTGTGGCTTTGTGCGGATTGCACATTAGATCCCATTGTGCCTTTACCTGAACGTGTAGAGGGGTCCTTATTCTCACCATTCGCAGGCGAATTGTGCAATAAATGTAGAGCAGATGCACATTTAAAGTAATTATCACACAATTAACTGGTGAATTATGAAAAATGTAGAATGGCTGCGTGTGTAAAGTCATTCTTATGCCACAAAAATGACTGTCCAGCTATAAAAAGAGCCAACCTGCTAGAAAGACATGTTTAGGCAATCATCGACTCTTCTGGATCATGATGTATGCATGAGAGGTCACCCAGACCTTTGATGCATACGCCTAAGCATGAGTATGGAGGAATGGAGGCTGCCAGTGCCCAGACCTTCCATCCCCCCTTTAGGCCATTGAGACAATCAAAATGTCAGACCAAGTCCAGATGTTTGGTGCCTCCATGGCTGTAATTGTATAAGCTTCTGGGAACTGAACCTGGGTCTCCTATGTGGCAGGCAACAAGTCTTTCACTGCATCACAGGGGACTCAGCTAGAAAGCTGGCACTTCAAAATGTGTAACACAACTATAGTTGTTTTCTACCCTGCTTTCATTTGAACATGTAGCAGGGCCTTTGCCAGGCAGGGGTGGTCAACAGCTGGACTGCTGCAGTGTTGGTGATTGCAGGAAGGCAAGGGAGAGATGCCCCTTCTAGGCCCCTGCCACACGTTCCATATATCATGCAATTGGGTGGTGAATTGTGCAATAAATTTAAACCAGCCATATGTGCAAAGTAATTCTCACCCATAAAAATGACCATCCAGCTATAAAAAGAGCCAACCAGCTACAAAGTTAGTGCTTGAAAATGTATAACAGCTCTATAGGTGGTTTCTATCCAGCTTCCATTTGAACATGTGGCAGGGCCCACAACAGACTGACTAAATGAGACAGTATAGATGAACTGTAGCCATGAAGGTATAGGAATTATGTGAAAGGGAGGATTTCTTAGGGCCATCCCAACAACACTGTTGATCCAGTAAAATATACCACCCTAAGCAATCCTGGCCTCTTGCATAAAGAACCCAAGTGATCCTGAGGTGGAGTTCACTTCATCAGATGGCAGCAGAGGAGCAGCAGTCAGCACTACCACTGCTTTCCTACTGCCAAATTTCCAGACTCAGGAAAGTTAAGTACTGCAGGAGGTTGAGTACTGCATCCAGCTGGCAAAGGGGGTAAAGCCATGGTCTTGCCCTGTAATAGCTGGGGATATGCAGAAGCAGAGAAAGAAAGAAGGATCTGGGAACAAGAGTTGAGCCAGGAGAGGGAGAAATGCAAGTGGCAGTGTAAGAAGGCAGAAGTATGCAGCCATCTGATGAAGTGAACTTGAGTTCATGGAAGTTCATGCTCTGTAATTATCTTATTTAGCTAGGCTATAAAGTCCATATCTACCCTGACTTCACACTCACACAGCTGACTACAGGAAGCCTGATGAAGACCTTGCTACAAAAGATATAATCTCTCCCAGCTCCCTGACCATTCGCTGGGAAACCATGTTTTGCAAAGATCCACAGGTGCCACAGAAGCTGCAGTCCGAGAATCACTGTCCTAAGTGATACTAGGAAACGATGGGGAAACAGGAACAGGATTACAAGCACAATGAAGAGAAGTGGTACTCAACCCCTGACTGGCAGAGGTATGTCATCCAGTCCACAGGGCTCCCCATAGGTCTGGAAATTCAGTAGTGGGAGGGCAGTGGCAGCATTAATTGTCACTCCCCTGATACCAAATTTCTGGACCCAAGGGCAGGGATAACATGGCCCTCCACACTAGATTGTACTAGGGCATGGTTGGCCAGCACACAGGGATGCTCTGTGGCTGGATCCAGACGTGCAGGATGCAGCTGACATGCTGGATTGTACCCATAGACTGACTCAATGCAGAATCCAGCCCATGAACCAACCCCATACCACTTATCTGTCCCATGGGGTCAGAAGGCTGTGCACCACTGGTGTAGAGGATGCCTGCTCTGATTCTGGCCTCTGCAGATCCCACCTGTAAGCAGCTCTTCATATCCTGGCCACTTCAGATGGCCAAGCAGTTGCCCAGCTGTCTGCTGGCTATCAGGGTGGAGAAAGAAGCCTGGTTCTAGCCTAAATCCTAACCCTATCACAGGCTTCTTGTGAGACCCTGGGCAGCTCATGATCATAGCCTTCCCCTAGCTCACAGAGGCATGGCATGGTTAAATACATGAGACACCTAGAAACTGCTGTGAGAGGGGCTATGAAAGTAGATGGGCAGAGTAAACAGTATACTGAATTAGTCTGATACAAGATGATGGGCACTACATCAGATCTTTGAAAAAAGCATAACCTTTGTGGTCCTACTCTTGCCCCCATTTTTGTGTGCCCAGCAGGAGGACAGGAGAGGGGAGTGGCATCAAAGAAAAATAAATGCCAAGAAGGGAAAAGTACAAAATTCACCCCTTGAGCCCCAGTCTCCTTCCAGCTGCAGGAGTGAAGACAGTGGGCTACAGGGAAAAGGGGGCCTGGCTTCCAGCCAAGAAAAAGCTTGATGCTCAAGTATTAGCATTTCCATGGCTCCAGCTGGGGAGATGAATGGGTGCTTGGTGGGGGAAGGTTCCCACACCTTTGCTGCTGTTTAGATAACAGCATGTTTCCCATATGGCCAGGGCCGCCAGGCACCACAGCCTTGATAACACCAAGAAAATGCCTCCCCTGACAAGGGGGAAAAAAAACTCAGAAGCACATACAGCCTTGTGAAATAAACTAACAGCTTTGGAGGGAGGAATCAAGCAAACACCCTGTGCAGGGTGGCTGGACCCAGGCATGGGGACATCACAGCCTCCCTCCTCTAGGTCATCAGTTTCAAGACTCAGGAGACTGGGAATGGAGTCTGGGTTACATCAAGCCTGGAGGGTCACTGACTGCAGGGCATCCCTGTCTGGCAGCTGTCTGAGGCTCAGTATGAAATGAGTTGATAAGTCTCAAGCACCAGGACCAAGCAAACAGATGTCCAGAGCACACCAAAAAGCTCGCCTCAAGACCATCCAGCACTGGGCCCCTGACGTTCCCCCCTGCCCTTGATATTCTCAGTGCCTGGGCCCTGGAGACAGCTCTCTTAAGAGTCTTCCCTTGACGTCACCCTCTCAGCCGGCCTGAGGCACACTGGGGAAGAAAGTCATTGCTTCCACTTACATGGGCTGGGAATAAACAGAAGATTCAGGCATCAGGATTATCTCACAGGCCAGCACCTTTCAATAGCCCCACATTCGCTGATGTGACATTTTTAAAATTCCAGCACTCCCAAACTTTTGTGAAGCAAGGCACTTAGCCATATACAACATCCAGCTGTCCCTCATCAGAGAGAGAGCACGCAACTGGCCTGAGCTCAGCATTGGCAGTCAGGAATTCTTGCATTTCAGTCCTACTGTTGCTTTTGACTCCCCTCCGTGATGTTGGCAAGTCACTGTCTCTCCCTCTGCCTCATTGCCCACATCTGTGAAATGGGGGCGGGGGGGATAAAATTTCCCTGCTTCACAGGCAAAACTGCTCAGAGCAGGGGAATAACAAGGAATTGTATCCAGAGCCCGGACACACTGGGTGGACCCGGACTGGTGGATTTTTTGAACAGGTCACAGATGGTTGTTACATAAAACTTACATGAATACCATGATAGCGCTACATGACTTCTGATTTAAATATTGAAATGTAATTAAAACCAGCTATTCAATTCAGTAGTTGGAAAAAGGTCTGTGGGTGTCAGGGCTGAGACATAAGAACTTGTCCCACGCTTGACAACTTCTGTGGATGGCACTGTTCACAGAGGTGTTGGGAGCACTGATGAGTGTAACATGCAAAGGGCAAAGGGAACAGGCTGGGGAGAGAGAGAGCCAGCACATTTGTTCTTGCTGTGCTGTGGACATCAGGCTGTTCCCTTGCAGCTGAATTCCAAGCAGTGGCTCGCTCCAACATGCTGCATCAGAGGCAGAGGTGCTGCACAATGCAGCTTGCTGACACAGCACCTGCACAAAAGGCCAGCTGGCCTTTGTCATCGAAAATGGCCCTGTCAACTCCCTGTCATCCCAGTAAGTCTGGGTGCTTCTGAACAGTTCCCCCTCCCTCCCGCCATGCACTCTGTCTACCCTCCACCCCCTACCCTTCTCTGTCCCCCATCCCCCCCCGCCACCTTAAGTATATGAAATACCTTGTATTTCTCACTGGCATCCAGATAAAGGTCTTGGCTTCCTGGAGAAGGTGGCCTGGCACTGCTGAGGAGTTGCATTGTGCCTCTACCCAGCTGGGACTATGAGAAGAGAAATCAGGATTTAAGTACTAAGTATTTGCCTTTTCACGTGATTCTCCATAACTAACTTCCAGCATGCAGTTGAAGAGCTTTGGGTTCCCAGTCCTGAAGACCGGGTGCTCTTCATTCGGTAAGGGATACCTGGGGAGAGAGGCAATATGCAGGGGGGATAGAGCTATTCATGTTCCAGCCAGCAGGGGCACCACCAGGACTAAGGCTGATCCAAGCTGTAGTAAAATAGCCAAACTCAGGGCTATTCATTGGGTGGAGCTGCCAAGACAGGGATTCTCCAAGCTCTGTGGAGACTGGAGATGGATTCCCAGGGTTTAGGCCTCTTGGGGAAGGGGTTCCTGTTAGTCCTGGCTGCCCTCAGGCCTTTCACTTCTCCTAAGAGCTACTTACTTGATGCAAGAAGTTGCCTTTGGCTTCCCACTCGTTCCCCCATTGCTTCTCTGGGTTCCTGGAGGGTGGGGACCACTCAGTACTCTTCCATTCGTTCTCTGACCACTGCACTGGACTCACTGGTCTTTGACTCCTGGAAGATGGGGATCCCCCAGGACTCCTCCAGTCATTCTCTGACCGTTGCACTGGACTCACAGGTCTTTGGCTCCTGGGAGGCGGTGACCCCCCAGGATTCCTCCAGTTATTCTCTGACTGTTGTACTGGACTTGCTGGTCTTTGACTCTTGGAAGGTGGGGACGCCACAGGACTCTTCCAGGCATTCTCAGACTGCTGCACAGGACCTGCAGGGCTTTTCCAGTTACTCTTTGGTTGCTTCCCTGAGTGCAGGTGCTCACCTCGGCTTCTCCAGTCCCTTTGCATCACATTCACATGGCACAAGGGCTTCTCAGGACTCCACCAGTCCTTTGCTGGCCTTCGAGCTTGGCTCACATGGGGCGGGGTCTCTCCTCTGCTCTTCCAGCTTTTCTGTGGTAAGTGAGTTGGGCTCATGGGGCGCAGGGGCTTGCCCCGGCCTTTCCGGTCATTGTCTGTGCCTGTCTCTGGGCTTGCAGGGGGTGTTTTCTCCAGCAAGCTTCGGCAGTTGCTCTCTCTTTGCTTCCCAGTGCTTAGAGGGTTCAGGGAACCTCCTGGGCTTGTTCCCCTTCTCTCTGGGCTCAGCGCTGGATTTGCAGTGTGGACTGGCTTTTGGCTTTTCCAGGTGCTCTCCATGTGCTTCCCAGGACTCTGAGAACGTGGGTGCCCCCCTTGGCCAGTCCAGCTGGCATCCAAGGTCTTAATGGGTTTTGTGGGGTGCAGGGAGCCCCCTCGACTTTTTCCATGGCTGTCCATGTGCTTCCCTGGGTTCAATACTTGGAAGGGCACTCGTTCTCTGTCCATGTTCATGGGGCATACAGGTTTTGCTCGACTCCTCCAGTCTCTGTCTGGTTGAATGACTGAACCCCCAGGGTCTCCTTGCTTCCTCCAGTTCCTGTCCCGTCCCTGAGCTGAACTCACTGAGTGCAAAGAGTCCTGTCGGCTCCTGTTGTCTCTGCCCGATCCTTGAGCTGGGTTCGCTGAGTGCAAGGATTCCCGTCGGCCTCGGCCCTGCTGTTCCAGCTGCCCTGGGAGTCTCTTGCTCCCCTAGGGATGTCAGAGTCAGAGAAAGGATAAATGAGCAGGTTCCCTGAACTTGTTGTCTACACCAAGTGGGCAGGGAATTAAGAAGGAGAAGTGGCCTTTAGACCCTGGAGACAGCTGACAGCCACAAAGAAAAGGACATCTACTTCATGACAGCAGGCCCACTGTGTTCCAGTAGGGCAGTACTGCCCTCACCACCAGTCTGATCCTACCCCAGCCCACCAAGAGAAGACACTTAACTTAATCTTGTTAACTACATTTTGTTATGCTCTAGTGAGGGGCAGTGGAGCACAGTTGCATGTTCATGCTCACACCTGCCCATCCCACACCTATAATGGCAGCCTCTCATACCCAGTGGGTGAAGGGGATTGAGCCATGGGCTTGTCCTGTAATAAAAGTCAGACACACACAAAAGCAGAGGAAGAGGACAAAGAAGGATCCTGAAAAAGGATTGAGCACAAAGAGGGAGAAATGGAAGCGACCGTGAAAAAAAGAAAGGAAGAGGTACGTGGCACAGAGAAAGAGAGAACGGAAAAAATAGTAATGGGAACAAGAGTTTGACAAAGTTCTGTTGAGAGGAAGTCAGGGGTGGGTGGTATCCACTACCATCTGGCTAAAGCAGGGTCCATAGGTCCAGTAACTCACTTCTCTGGCCAAGGTGGGGCTGGACTGCCTTCTGATTAATCGGCCTCCCTTGGCCAGCTGTGGGGGCTTGCCATCCAGATGGTCCACACGGCCTTCTTCCAAGGCCTGGAATGCCTCCAGGGTCTCAGTCTTCCTAAGAGCCGCACACAAGGACAATCAGGGGCTCTGTTCCACCTGGGAGTCGAGGAGCCCTCATCCCAGAATCCTCCCTGGCCCTAGTACACCCAGACCACAGCAGAACAGATGTCTAGATATCAGGCTTCCGAGCTGGGGTTCCACCTCCATCCAAATCTGATATCAACAGCTCCATGCCCATGACTCCTCCCTTTCCAGGCTTCTCTCCACTAACCTCCTCCCCAGTGTCTAGACTCTCCAACTATCTCATTTCCCCCCGAAACCTGCCTCCACCTCCCTAAAAATCCCTCTCATGCTCTTTACTCTCCACCTACTGCTATCATGTCCCCTAAGCCAATTTATCCTAACAGGAATTCCCACTCCTATGTATCCCCTTTCTACCTCACCCTGCCCACTCCATTAATGGTCTCTTCTGCTATCCATTCCCTATTTACTTCCATTTGTGCTATTGACTCTTATCAGACTCCCAATGGGGCTCAACCTTTGGCCCCATGGGCCAGATGACTAGTGTGGGGCTGGCCCCTGGGCTAGATCAGACCTACACACCGAGATTGGACCCCGTGTGTCAGGATTGGGCCCCAGAGCCCCATGCTACCTCCACCTAGCCCTGCATGCAGGGATCAGAGCCCTGGGGCCCCATGATGCCTCTGGCTGCCCCCACACACTAGCATTGGGCCCCTTGATGCCCTCCATGCCCAATCAAGAGCACAAGGCCACAGCCACACACGCATGGGAAGCCCCATGGGCTGGATGACATCGCACTGGGAGCAGCCCACAGACGGGGGGTTGAACATCCCTGCTTTAACCTATTGGATTCGCTATTGCCTCTACTCTATCTCCCCACTTTTCTATTGTCTCAACTTTTCTGTACCTTCCTAGTAGCCTCAGCTTACCATCAGGATGCATGGGCTGAAACAGTCAGATTTGGAAACTCTACAGAACCTCTTGCCTGAGGAATGGAGGCTGGTCTCTGACCCATCCATGTTAGACTTCAAAGCAAATCTCAATGTGCTCCTTTGACTCAGTCCTAGTGCTGATGAGAGCTAGGCTTCCATCTTTGGCAATTGATATCCTGGCTTCAGCTCCCCTCAGTGGTTCAGAAAGAAAAATATTTGGAAGGATTTGACTTTCACAGACACTCAGTGGAGCTGAGGGCAAATACATGCCTGTGAAAAATCTGACCTTCAGTGATGCTAGTTCAGGGGACTGCTCATTTGTCTGACCTGAAAGTGATGTAATACTGCTAGCACCTCCTGACCCGACACCTCACCTGCGCTCAGATCCGAAGAGCCGTTTCACCTCATCCCGACCTGGGCTTCGAGTGCGGGAGCTTCTGCGTCCCCGGTCAAATGCCTCCTTGTGGCTGATCCGCTTGGGCTTCGGCAGGTCAGCCAGCACAGTGTACTCCTGCCTCTCTAGCCCATGTCGCCCCTCACCACCGCCACTTGTGCGCCAGCTCGTCTCAGAGTTCAGGGAGCTGGCAGAGGAAGTGCGATGCCCGCCAGCCCCAAATGAGTCGCTGCGTGGGGGAAAGGGGCTGTGGCTGGCACAGGGAGGGGAGGCAGGCTGACTGGGTTCAGATTTTCGGCGCTCCAGGGAGAAATAACCATTCTCTATCTGGTGCTTTGGCCAACTACTCCCAGAAGTCTGGCTCATGGGATGAGACTCTGTGAAAAGGAGAAAGGGTTGTTAGCATGACTGCCAGTGGCAGATATGGTCCCTTCCTTTACAGGAAGAGTGTTGCCAGAGTCAGAATCCTCCAAGAGGAGTAGATCTGATTCAAAGCCTGTTTGGATGAGAACCAGATGCACTCCAGAACAGCATGGACAATCCCAGTGCCACGCAATCAGTCACCAGTCAGAGCTGAGCAGTACTGGACATTAGTCCTTTCATCACATGGAGATGGGTTGTGAACCAGTGGGACTCCCAAAACCAGAGCTGCACAGACATTGAGACTAGAACTTGCACAGGAACACACTATCCTTAAATGTATAGTAATTGAACCCCAAGAGCCCCAAGCTGGAGTTGCAGGGACACTAGCTCTAGGCTTCCAGAGATACCAGGGTGGGCTAAGGTACTCAGGACATATTGGAGGGAAGCTGTATGGACCATGAACCTTACTACTCTTCTTTATCATATTTATTACAGCACAGACCACAGGCCAAAGGACCAGGGTCCCAACATGCTAGGCCCTGTCCACATCTGCGGCAAGAGACAGTCCCTGCCTCAAAGGGATCACAGCCTAAACAGGACCTTGTATGGACCTTGAAGCACAGAGGCCCCAAATGGAGATCAAGCCTCCTGCATCCAGAACTACAGTCTACAGCAGGAGTTAATCACATGTACCTGCTTTCAAAGGGTTGACTCCTTTCACAGAGCTCTGGGAGTCTACTCGCACCCAGGGGCCAGATGGAAAGGTCTGACCCCACCTGGGTCTCTCTGCCTGCAGGGCTGCTTCCCGTATTGCTTTCAGGTGGCCTGTGAAGATCATGTCTGGTTTGTCTGATTCCAAAATGCCATCCAGCAGCCTAGTCATCTCCCAGTCCTGAGAGACAAAAGCAGATCCAATCTCTGCAGAAGAGGCAGAAAGCGACCACTGCAGCCTTCACTTGCAGCAGGGGCTATGAGAAAGGATGAAGAAACAGTTGCTGTGCCAAACTCACAGCCGCTCCAGCCCCAGACTTTCTAAGCAGGAATCTCTGAAGAAATTAGGGCAGAAGTGCTGGCTGTGGGAAGCACACAGCCATTCTAGGCCTTCACTAAGCTTGGCAGGGAATAGCCAAGAAAGCCAGTTTGGGAAAGCTATTGGCTAGGGGGCAGGGGGCAGGGCAGCAAATGGTATAGAGCAATGGTGTTGGAGATAATGAGACACTGCAGGCTTGGTCTCAGCCAATGGGGATGGGGATGGAGGAGGTAAGGGAGGAACAATGGCATGAGAGTGGAGAAGGAAGAGTGGGATGCCCAGCATTAGTTAGCTGATGTACTATTTGGAGGACTTTACTTATGGGTATTAAAGGTCCTGTGGGCTTTGCCCTTTGGCAAGCATCTGTCCGTGTCCCCTTCCCCTCCACCATGTAATCAGCACCCTGCCAATTCCCCATAGGAGCATACTGGCCCTGCCTCCCTGGGGTTCTTCATGCCTCTGAAGGAGTCCGGGAAAGGTGGTGTAGGGACGCGGGTTTAAGGCACAGGGGAAAACCAACTGCTCAGACCAAAAGAGGAGAGGAAACTCCTTCTCCTTCAGCCTCACCCTGGAGAGTGTGGTGTCAGGTCCAGTACTGGTGTTGGCATCAGTGTTGATACTGGTGCTGGTCTCTCTGGGGCCATCTTCAGTCTTGGTGCTGAATTGGGTATATGCCAGGCTCTCCTGCCAGCTGGGGGACAGGCAAATCAATACATGCAGCTTGGGGTGAGGGGGCTGGATTGCTGAGTGCATAGGATAGTATCCTTGTGGATACAAAATACTTCCCACATGGCTGAATGAAGCCAGATTTACAATGCTGGAGACCCAAGTCCTGCATCTTGGGAGCAGGTCCAGCCTGGGTCTGTCAGTGGGCCTTGCTCCTACTCTGACACAGTGGAGGAAGAAGGCCCTTCAATCTCCATGGACCACACAGTCCTTAACCTCCACTGGGACTGCCAGTGAGGAGCCCAGGTAGTTGGGGATGGTGAGTTCTCTCTCATTCCATATACTCCTTGCCCAGGGTGCAGGGATCCATAGGAAAACATCTACCTCCCCTCTGCTATCATGCTACAAATTCTGCTCCCCCTTTGTTATTCATACAGCAGGGATCTGCATCAAGCAACGCTTCCAAGAGTTCTCCTCCCCAGGTGTAATACCTACCTCTCGGTCCTGCTCTCAGACCTTGCACATACGTAGAGCTCACAGCGGGGTGCTAAGATGCACAAAGGATCCCAGGGTCCACCGGGGTCTGGCCCACTTTCAGCATCACAGTGAGGAGCCTCCACTGCATGTTCCTCTGGTGCCTGGGGGGTGGGGAAAGGGATGGGTAATCATGTCCCCTCTATTGCAAGGGTTAGTGGGAACGTTGCTTTTCTCATCATTATCCTCCTCCTCCAAAAGAAGGATTTATTCCTACATCATCCAGCTCCCCAGCTCTTGGGGGACCTTTCAAATATCAGACCATCTCCAGGGGCCTTGGATCTTCTCTCTGACAGGTAGTCTCTCACATTTAGGCTGCTTTCTCCCTCTTTGGCACTCCAGAGACAGGCTATTTGACTTTGGCCATCTCTCTCAGCCATAGCCACCTCATGCCAGAGATCACAGTGGAAGTAAGAGAGAAGGGAGTTGGGAGCACTGAATCCAACCAAGCCCTGGCAGGGCAGGGCAGGGCAGAGAAATGGAAGAGCTGAGGTGCTGGGCCTCAAAGGAAAAGGAGGGGACCTTTGCTGGGGAAAACCTGGGAATTAAGATGATCAGATTAATGCCCTGTGAAAAGGTGTTTTCTCTCAGGCTTACCAGGCAAGCAGGAAATACCAGAGTTTGGTTCTGCGCAGTAGGCCAGTGTCTGATCACCTCCCCTCCCCTCAGCACAGTGCATGAGAACTGATGCCCAGGCTGGTGGGGGCTGCTTGTCACCTACTCCTTCCCCACCCTGGTGGATTTTTGACAAGGCGCCATGTGCAGCAGAGCAGGGTGGGAGGTGTACTCAGAATGGAGGCCTGGAGACAAAGCCCCTCTCGGACTGGCCCTGCGAGAGCTCTGGCATTTCCCCAGAGTGCTGGCCTCTCCTCCCCAGCCCAGTTACCTTCACAGCTTACAAGCAGCAAGAGGGAAGGTTCCTAGCAGCCTAGCTGTCAGCGCCGCTTTCCCTCCATTGTCTTGCCCACGCCAGGATTCGCTCAGAGGAGACGGCTCTGAGCAGATCGCAGGCAGGGCAGAGGTAACTCTAGAGGCTCAGGGCCAGAGAGAGAGAGAGGGAGCCTCATTATTATTTAATAATCCTGGGCCAATCGCTCCCAGAGAACAATGAACAACACGAAACCCTGTGCTAACATGAAACCACCTAGCACCCCCCAGCATGGGATGGAGCATCACACTCCCCTAGTGAGCAGCAGGCCCAGCAGCCGACTGATGACACACCTGGCTGTCAGTGCTTCTGTACACTGAGCACTGTAGAAATGCACTGGATTGACAGCCATGGGGATCAAAGCTAAGGTCTTCATCCCCCCAGACAGGTACAGTGGAGGTTGCTGTAATGTGAGCTTCACCAGCACTCAGCGCTGCTAACCCCTCACCCTGGCTCTAGGGGCAAGAGACAAGCTGAGTCTCCTTGATTCAGTTCTAGGTGCAGACACTGCCAGCAAGGGGGCTGATCAGAGTCAGTGGCAGTGGTGTATTCCAGCGATTCTCAACCAGGTGCTGTGGCACCCCGGGGTGTCTTGAGTTCCTTTCAAGGGTGCCACATGGTGTGACACATGGTCAGCACTGTTAGGTGTACAAACATGATTCACAAGTTAAACCCAGAGATTTCAAATAGGAATTCATAATGTTAAAACCATTTTGCACTGTTGAGGTCTTTCTGAGTTCTTTGCAACAGGAGAATTGCTTTATTATTTTCCTGCAGTCAAAAAATTAGAGAAAACTGGGAGTTGGCTGGGGAGCTTCTGGTCTAATGAGGGGTGCCTTCAGTCTAAATGGATTGAGAACCACTGATATATTCAGTGACATAGGCATCAAAAGCCATCAGACTTTCAGTGACCACTAACTTGGGCCGACGCACACAATCAGGATGTGAAAGGCTTGGAGTCCTTTCCATGTTCGGCACTAATGCCTTTCCTCTTCCCACTGGCAAAGGGAAGATTTTAAACATGGAACACACTCTTACTGCACAGGTTTCAGACTACAACTCAGTCACAACCTGCATCAGGTCCTGCCATTTTGGTCCTGCCCCCTTCCACCCCTGCCTCCCAATCTGGGTCATGATCATCAATACCTCCTGCTATTCTAGTCTTGGGATTCTGCATTCTGCTCCAGTCCATCCCTCCTTCCCCACCAATACTGGACCTCCATCAGGGATTATCAGGGCACTGGGACATGTTTACATAATGGATCTGGTGCACTTCTGAAATCTCTCCCCTCTTACATCCTCTTCAGTGAAATCCAAAAAAACCAAAAAGTCCCTCTGGGCCCCTGTGCTGGGAATTTCCATCCAAGAAAACTCAGGCAGCCAAAGCCCAAAACAATAGGTCCTCTCATGAAAGATTTATAGCCCTCTGGGGCAGGTGATAAGCTCACCTGGTTATTGTGCTGGTGAACACCAGCAGCTTGAAAACAGTTCTGACAGCGGTGTTTAGCGAATGCATTGGCCTCAAACTTCTCACAAAGAGCATTGTCTACTGACTCTGCCATATCCCACGACAGGGGCAGGAAGCTTCCTTAGGTGTGCTGTACTCCGGAGGTTGACTGGAAAAGAAAAGCAAAGATAAGAGGAGCAGAAGGCAGGACATTTCAAGACTCTGGTGTTCTGCCATGAGCCTTCTTTAGGAGGGGAAACTTTCTTTTCAGAGATGCTCACTGTCTCCAAAGGAGAATGCCTGAATCTTGGATTTTCTGAAGAATTCGTCTGTATGTCAGCATTGACATGCAAGGAGGGCTCCAATCTGGGGTTCTTTCAGAAAAGGAAACTGCATCACCTCAGTTGTCACTAGCAGAGCGCTTATCATTAGTGTGTTCTGTAGGAGGAAGGGAATATATTAATATCCTATTATTATACTACCGGCATTTCTTATCCAGAGTTCCTTTAAGAGGACAAGCAGGAGGATCATCCTGAATGATTACGTGCTCATACAAAATACCTACAAGCAATTAGGTAGGTTTCTAAAATTCTTAAGGCTTTCCTAAACTAATCTGTCAATGAAAATAATTTAGAACTGTGGGACAGCTAGTGCCACAAAAGAGCAATGAACACCCTTAGGATGGGAGTCAAGCTCTACTTCCCAGAGACTTACCCATCCCAGCACGAGCTGATACTCAAAGTTGCCATGTCCAATACCCTTCCTGTGAAGCATCTTACCCCATGCTACTCTGCCAAGCTCCGTCTGTCAACAGTGGGCTACAATATCACTGGCACTGACATGCAGCTTCTCTTTTTGTAAAAACGGAATCTGAATCAACACATCTGACTGATTAGAGGAAATATTTTCTTCCCATAGCACCCTCCCAAAGGCAATTGTGAAAACAAGATTATGATGTTGTTTTGTTAGAACAATTATTGTAACAACTCACAAAGAGGCGAACAATATGCAACACAAACTCCTTAGTCCCACAGACTGGTTTTTAATTTGCCATGAATCCTGGTTAAGCACAAGAATATATTTAGCCATTTGCTTGGGAGTGTGAGGAGAACCTTACAGCCACTCTTTATCTGTGTGTCAGAATTTAAAAAAAGGCTTTAATGAAATTGAGCACAGCATTTTTGCCTCAGCTTACTCCTCTGTAAAATAGGAATAAGGGTACTCTCTCTTTGTAAAATGCTTTAAGATCTATGCAGAAGGGCCATTATTAACAGATTCAATCAATTTCTAACACTGTAACACAATGGCTAACATTAGAAGGAAGGCCGATATGGCAGACCCACCTCTCTCCTTCCTTGGGTAGCTGTTACCTTGCACCAGTAGCTCAAGCTCCAGCTTCAACTCATACACCGCTACCTTTTTTTTTTCTTTCAAACGACCAACACATACTTTCCCTGAGAAGTAGGAGAGGCCACACCCCCAGTCTATTTTTGATAGGTTAGCTGGAGGTAGCTTATTTGAATATTTATTACACCCTGAATGGCCCCCTTCATAAGAGGGTGGGGGTAGGAACTAAGCCCCCAGAGCTATGCTGGGTGTTGTAATTTGGGGATTTTTTTTTAGTTTAATTTCCTTTTCTTGAAAGTTTTATAACCCATGATGCAGTGACACCAAGCATACTATTGTGGGCTTTATTGGGGAGAGGTTTGCTTCCTCCCTTCTATTTGCATCACTGGTCTAGCTGTCATAGGGTTAATTTTTTCTTCCAGTAGGAAAAAAGATGCTTTTGATGACAAGATGCAAAAGTATTTCCGTGTCCCCCCCCTCCCCTAGCTTCTTCCACTTGTAGTTCACCATCTCCTTTCTTCATATGCAGACAGCCCTGTCCTCCTCTTCCGTTGATTTAGCTGCTTCTCCCCACCCCTCCTTCTTTCTTGATCTGGACTTAATACAAGCCCATGAGACTGAAGACATGAGATATGCTGGGGGTAAGATCACCACACAGCAGGGGTCTAACAGGTTTCTGCACATCCTCTCAGCAGAATCACCCAGCTCTTTCTAACAGCTGCTTCTCCATGTAAATGCATAAATATCACCTGGAACTTGTGTCTAATCACAGACGTACAGAAACCTGAATAAATCTGAAAAGGATTCAAAAGTCCACTCTGCCTATTCATGAATGTATAAGCTCAAGCACCCATAAACCGGGGTGGAAGTATGCATCCTTCTATGCAAAGCTACAGGGCATGCATATGCACAAGTAACCCTGCAGGCATAGGTTTGCATGTATATGCCTAGGCAGGAAACTGATTACAGCATTTCCTCTTTAGCTGAGGAACTGTACTGTCATGTTAATTTCTGCTAGTATGATCACATTTCAAAGACATTCACTCCAAAATGGCTGAAGTGTGTCTAAGCAACTGGAAGAAAACTAGTGCTGCTTGAAGGAGGCTCTCTAAGCAACATTTGGGAATTTCTAGGCCACAGCCCCACAAACAGAACTGCCTCCAAACAGAGAATATTGAGGCAAAAGTCTGTTCACAAGCAACCAGCTGTCCTGAGAAGAAACTACCCAGGGTCCTAGGGAGAGGAAATTACCCTGGACTGGAACCAGGGTAAGATTTCCTGGGTTAGAGCAGATTTACTATAGTTCAAGGGGTCATGTTTTTCTTCAGACAGTTGCTTTTGGTTTTTTTAGGATACCCCATTCACATGTCCCTAGTGCTAGTTGCAGAAAATCAATGCCTAGCTTGCTTGGACTGTGATACATTTGGCAAGTACTTATCTACTTAGCTGCCCTTACCTGTTCATGACCATGTCTTAACGGCCCCCGGGACAATCTGATTCCAAATCAGCTATACAGGTGGGTTGTGAGAGACTGTGGTACAGCAGACTGCAGACCATACAGTAATTTCATCTTCATTACAGAACATGGACTTTGAATCAATTAAACACAAAAAGGAACACAGTAGAGTTATGCCAGCAATTCTGAGAGTAAACTGTTTTTATAGTGCCCATATTTTCAGTTTTCCATATAACATTGGTTTTATACTGATAATACACATCCATAGAAGTTCTCAGATAGGAGCTGGTGGTTTTGAAAGCTGGAAAAGAGATACTGGAGGTTTGGAACAATTGTGAAAGCAGGTGTGTTTTATGCCTGTTCCATATCCCTATTAGCTGGATATTTCTTCTAAAGTGACTGACAGCACATTAGAAAGCACTGACCTATTAAGCTCATCGGGGTAGCTCACATGTCAAGGCAACACTGCCTCAGGTTTACACCTCCTATTTTTTAACACATTGTTCACCACCATAAGATCTGGCAATAGAATTTTATCGAAAAGAAAGCTCAGATTCAGATGAAAAGTTCTGAGGCAAAGGGTAGATTCTGGCAAGGTCTGATCAGGGTGGAGCATTGCTTTATGACCAAACACAACTGCTCTCCTCCCCTAGGATGGGCCCTTCATAAATCAGCATTCCAAGCCTCAGTATTTAAACCCCTTTTGAATTTTTCAAGCATGTTTGCCTCTGCACATTTTCCAATGCTTTCCATAAGATTTACTAGATGCAGGACTCTCTCTCTCTTCTACAATCCCTCTTTAATACATACTGGTACTTGACCAACAAAACATGTGTCAGCTACTCACTACAGAAGTGAAATTATTTTCTCCACAACTACTAAAACAAAACAAAAAATCATCTTGTATGAATTTTCTGATCATCTAATCTTTGGTATCTCTGCACTGCTTGGACCCTGGCACGGTGTCATATGGCTTGCAGACCACACTGCATGCAGGGCCTGATCCTGGTGCACCGGGACAGACAGAGGCAGCACAGGGCCCCTGGAGCCGAATCCCCCCATGTAGGACTGGGTAAAGGCAGTGCATGGTCCAATCCTGATGCACTGGTTTAGACCCCCAGCTCTTTTCCTGGTCATCTGCTCAGAGTCTTACCAAATACCACATTTGGTGTCAGAAGGGATTTCAGATAGACATGATTTGTGAGGGATGTTCCTTACTGTCACACAGGGCATAGTCCTTATTTAATCACCAGAGCATGAGTCAGATTTCCCTGTTGTTGCAGTGACAGGACATTAGCAGTGACCTCATCACTTTTGCCTTTACCTACAGCATGTTATATGGCATGGGTGGTGTTTTGGGTAATGTACTTCATAATTAGTGGCATGGGAGGGTTCAAAGCAGGGATTTTGAGGATTCCTCAGGTACATGAGTGCCTGTGAATACAGTAGACTGAAGCTGGCAGCCTAGGAAGTCCCTTCTGAGCCCGCGTTCTTACAGCAGCATCCAGAAGCTCCAACCAACACCAAGCCTGCTAGGGTAGCAAAAACAGTTCCTATGCCTAAAGAGCTTTCAGTCACACTGACCATGGGTGAGAGGATTATCACCCTCATTCCACAGGTGGGGAAAAGGGACAGTACTTAAGAGACTTGCGCAAGGTCATCGAGGAATCCCTGGCAAAGGAGAGCTTCAGAGTCTTGGCCCGGTCTATTAACAATGAAGCCATCTGTCCTCTCTTCCCTGCTTTGCCTATGCTGTACAGCGCACTGCAGAACCACAAGCCACCAGGAGAAGTTGACCCCTTATTTAAAGTTTACCTAGCCTAGTAACACAAGTCTGTTGTGAAGGAACGACAAATGACTCAGCTGATGGGAGGACTGTCAAATACCCCACACTGACTTTTATGCAAAAAAGAGCTCCTGAGGTTGAATACAGCCTACCACAAGGTGCATGCAGAGGATAGCAATGTGGCACTGAGAGAAATGGTAGCACTACTGGACTACTGCCTATTTCAGAAGTGGCTGACCTACAGCATGGGTGCCACAGGCAACCTGTGTGGCATGTAGCAGACTGGAGAGGAGACAGGCAGCACAGTGGCAGACAGAACAGGAAGCAGAAAGCAGAGTAGCAGCTTGCTCAGGGAACAGAAAGAAGAGCAGGAGTTCAATTAAGGGAAAAGGATCAGAGTGGCACTTGGGGAGGGGGCAGAGGTAACTTGTGACATGCCTGCCAAAAAGGCTGGCCCCCATTGCCTTAATTCAAAACACAATTTGCTTCGGCTTTTTTTTTTTTTTTTTGAAAGGCTGAGGTTAGGTGTGAAGGGAATTAGGGAACATCTGGGGTGCTCAAGTCACTGTACATAACTCATTTTAAGGAGTATCATTATTTACTTCTCCAGAAGCCTCAGAGTTAGCACTGTGGTACTGCAGGGATAGGTAAAGTGCACATAAGGACAGACATTTTATCACTTGCAGTTAGGCAGAAGCTTCCTCTCCTTTTAACCTTTTAGGATTCTCTCTAGGTTTCACCATTAGCATTCCTCTAACTCCTGCATAATGTTAGAGATAAGCTACAGAAACACTAAAGAGTTCCTTTCCAACTAAATGCTGCAACATAAAATGTACTCCACTGATATGCCTATTAGATAAGTGGATACATGTGGTTAACTGCCGAACATTACATCAGTCCTGATTTTCTACCCACTGCTTACATTATAAACAAACACTGGCTATCAGCTGAAGTGTGTAAACCATTTCAGTGCCTAGGATGTCTACCTTGTAATTTAATTGGTGCTCTTTTAACAGCATAATGGGTGCAAACTGCTAGGAGAGGATTGTTTCAAGGCAGCCTTGGCCCAAGGACTTTGGGAAACAAAGTAACAAGCCTTAATGAAGTGTGAAAAACATAGAACAGGCAGTTCCTGGGCAATGTTTACTGAGTCTGGGTAAAGTGCAGGTACTCTGCTATGTATTTGCAAATGGAGCATTATGCAAAGTCCACGTGAGGGGGCAGATGCTGACCACTGCAGTAAGGGAGGTCTCTGCCCCCTCCTCCCAACATGGGCAGAATTGCACAACTGGGGGAAGCACATTAGGGAGTTCAATACTACCCCGGGGGCTGTTATGACATTGGGTCACTGACAGCAGCAAGTGACTCATTGTCATTTCACCACTGAAATAATCTCCCATATGTTCCCTCTCTCGCAGTAATGAGCTGGAGATTCCAAGACCTTCCAAACACCTCACCTCTCCCCAGCTAGGTTGCCCTTCCACTTCTAGTAAGTCACACACACACACACGTTTGCTTTCTTACAAATGGCTGTTTATAAAGATATGCACCCAGAGAAGTTATCAAAAAATCTGGTTATTTGCAGAAGGGGATGTGTCCTTGCACTCAGATGCAACTCTGCACAAGGAACACACAAGATGCTGAAGTTGGCACACAGTCTTTTTGGGAGAGGAGGAATTATACAGCAGGTAATGTGAATGTGGGTGGAAGCAAAGCCCTCTCTTGTGCTACAAACCATCCTAATATGGTTTGCCCTGTATCTGTCTCTTCCATTTTGTAAGGCAAGGAACAAGATTTCCCACTCTTTCCTTGGGAAAGGGAAGTCTAGGGAACAGATGGACTGATGCACAAAGGACAGAGTCCAAATTAATCCACAGCCTGCCGACAGGCGTAGGAGATAACACACTGCCTGGCACGTAAGATAGTTCATTGTGGTAATTACTTTCCACAATAATGGAAATAATGGTGAATAATATTCACCTCATGGGCCTGGGTTCAGAGCCAGCACATGTACATTTCCCAGACCAAGATGCCACAAGAGGGGCTTCCATTGCATTGCTTGTTGACCAAGAATCCCATCAAGGAAAGTCCTCTTCCACAACAAATTGAGCTTTCGCATCAGGCTAGAGACCAACACCAAATGCAGAACCTATCCTGGCAGATCTTTTCCACTCCAGTTTGTCCTTCAGTCTTGGTTATGTCTCAGTCTGCCAGTCAGTTTCCGGCGCTGGGACTTGCTGGTCCGTCCAGTACTAGGTTTCTGGTTTTTCTTGTGCGAGTCTTGGCCATGTCTCAGCCGCTTTCCCTTAGCTTTTTTCTGGTTGCGTGTATGCAGCGAGGCAGTGAGCGAAGAGATCCTGTACAAGGTGGAGACAGAGAGAGAGTTTCTGGGACCTTGCTCAGATGGAGGGACAAGGCAGCGCAAGAGGATTACTGCTACTACCATCAGAGTGGGTCACCCTTGAAAGTGGAGCAGGGGAATCATGCTATTGTGTGCATTACAGTAATGCAGAGCCTTAGCTATGGGCTCGAATCCCAATGGTCGAGACACCATATTAAGAGCACAAAGACAGTCCTTGCCCCAAAGAGCTTGCAGTCAAAGTATGTAACAGAAAACATTACCCTCCCAAAATGGAGTAAAGTCCAGCCACTCTGGAGCTGAATACCTCCCTGTGATGTCAAATCAGCTTTAGACCCTGGGTACTGAGAAATGCAGAGAATGCCAGAGACTTAAGCTCCAAAATCCTGTGACCCACTTCAATGAAACATTTTACTTTGCATTATTCTCTTATTTTGCAACGTCTGTTGACTTTTCAATCGAGGACAAAGCTTCCAGGCACACTGCTTTGATCTCCTCTGGCTGCTGTCAGGAGGACCCATATGACCAGATAATTACCACCCTACAAGATGCACTGGAAGCATTAAAACTACCAGAGAGGTCCACAGCCTCACTATACTTGTGTTTTGCAGGTGCCCTCTACTGGTTGCTTATTCGCATGACAGCAGCTTAATAAAAAAAGACATGAAAGCAACTCCCAAGTGAAAATAAAACACCTTCCCGTCTACCCATTCATCTGGTCCAGATCTCCACACTGAAGAGTGGGTAGGTGAGATGCCACAGCAGTGGTTCTCATCCTTGTTAGAGTCAAGGTACTCCATACTAGAGTCAAAGCACCCTTTGGAAAATGCCAGCTCTGTTTTATTTATTTTTTGACTACAGAAAAAATATTAGAACAATTCTTCTGCTACAAAGAATTCAGAGAGAACACAATAGGTCAGAATGGTTTTGACACTACAGATTCTTATTTGAAATCTTCGTGTTTATCTTGCAAATCACATGTATGCATTTGCACACTAAACATTGTTGATATTGTACAATACCCTTAAAAGGATCCTGCAGCACCCTGGTTGATAATCCCTGGGCCAAGGTAGAAGGAGACACGTGATGTCCTATACCCACCTCTGGGACAACAAAGGATCACCAGACTTCTTGGGCAATACTTTCGTGGGCCTGCTTGTTGTCTCCTCTTCCCTAGAGTCAGCATTTTCCTAAAAATCAGAAAACATAACAGATCAGACTACCCAGTGTTAGGTGGTTTCCATGGTTGTACAGTGCTCACTCTCACAGCCACTTTGTAAAACATCCTTCCTGGACCAATTTGTTCTCAAATTCTTCAAATCCCTCACTGCCTGGTTCTGAATGCCTCACTTTGTAGCCTGTGCCCCCAGACCAAAAGAAAAATCACACCAAGGAGAACCAAAATGCTCTTCCACTCCAAGGCACAATTTTTAAATGATTCTACTTCCCTTTAGATCCCAAGTTTTATTAGGACTTAAACCTAGTAGTTTTTAAAAAAGAAACCCAAGTGGATTTTGGGAAAAGAAGATGCACTTAAAAAGCTACAAGATTCACTCCACAGCTTGGGGACCTTTCCTCTCCTACCGGTTCAAATCCAGTCACAGGCACTGACTTTGGTTTTTGTACATGGGTGCTTGCAGATATAACCCCCCTCCCCGCCCAAAACAGAGCTTTATTTTAAACTCGGTGCTTTCCTGCACCAAGTCTAATGCATGCCCAGAAGAGACAGCACGTTACTTCAACCTGGCTCTGCAGTGCCTGTAAATATTGAGCACTTTAATGGGACTTTTTTGGCACTTTTATCTAATAGGTGACTGAATCAACTTTTAGCTAAAAGTGCCAAAAAGCCCTGCTGAAGTGCCCAATCTGTATTAACACTGAAGAGCCTGGCTGAAGTAACACACTACTTCTTCTGTAAAGCACAGTTTGTTCGTTTTGTTTTTTAAGGTCTGCAAGCAGCCATAGAGATCTAATATGTAAAACCAAAATGGCTGTGGCTCGTGGAGGCTGAGTACCAGCTAATTTTTTGGGGTGGGTGCTTGAGCTATGAATCCAGCCATGGCTTATAGGGATCACAAGGTGTTTCCAGCTAAGTAATATTTGAAGGTCCCTACAAAATGAGTTTGAGAACTCAATTGAGCTCCCAGGTTTCCCCAGAATGGAAACCACTGTAACCAGAAATAATTGGGCTTTTTATTCACAGTCTCAACAGGGAGGCCAAGAACTGAATGGGTCAGGGAGACCAGAAACTCCTCCTTCCTTACTGTAAAGGTGATCTCCTCAGGACAGGAATCAGACGTTGTGGTGGGTCCACGCAGAGGAAGGCGAGAGTCTTGATAATTACGTTATAGCTGTAGCCCCACAACAGATTTCTCAAGGGCTATCAACAACATTAAGTTTATAACAGAATAAATAACTTAAGTCTGGATGGGAGGGAGTCCTTAGGACAAAGGATTTGCTCCTACTCATGGACTAATAGCACAAGCTGGGGAAGAATTTAGAAGTTACTCATTCCTCCTCTTTTTGCCTCTGTTCCTGTAAGGTGCTGAGCAAGCTATCTACTGCCATATTTAGGGAGCACTGGTCCCATAAAGCCAGCCTCAGGAATTATTAAGGCTAATGCAGCAAAGGCTGGGTGAGATCCACAGCAAATAATCCTACCTCATGAGTGGTAAGTCCTAGTTGGCGTGCTCCGGAGAGGTCCAGGTCACTGATGGTGGTCACTGTTACCGTGTGGTTTGGGTGATCAATATTCACAGACTCCGTCTGGGATGTCACCAAATGCTCCAGCTCATCAGCCTCATCTACAGAGAGGAGATACTCTATTGTCCATGCAGGAGACGCATGTACAGTCTTACACAGACCAGCTGGGCATCTCAAGCTAAAACACTCTAACTCCGTTTACTAAGCTCTGAGGGGTGGAGACCCCAAATCTTGTAAGTTGGCCACTGAGAGTTGAAAGGCTGCAAGTCTGAAGTAATGGAGGCAGGTAACAGTTCACTACAAGCAAACATAGTCTCTCTTCACAAATGGAGTTACACACCAACAGGACCTTAAGGATTTTCTCTAAGTTATTCCTTTACATACAATATGCCTGTCACTTCTACAATATGCAGCCACCCTCCTTCCAGCCAGTGAATGAGGGGTTGTTCTTCAAAGCGCCTCACCACTGCTTCTCAGTGAGACACAGGAGTAATAAGATGCCATTACTGCTGTCTCTCTGCTGTACTCCCAACTCCCACCATTCCCAGGGACTGGAAGAATGGATACATATCCCCATGGCAAAACAGAAAATAAAACCCTAAAGCATCAGATTGAGCCTCAAATTACAACCTCTCCTTCTAGGTTCAGCACCCTAGCCAATTTCTTGCAAACCTCAGACTACCATTTCACGTCTAGCAAACAACATCAACCATGGGAGGAAACACTCACCAAGAGCCTCTTCTCTCTCTGTCAGCATTTTCAGGTACTCCTTGTGCCGCTAAAAAGGAAGCAAAAATCATTGCAGTACTTCTATTTTACTAGTTGCCATCTATGCCCCCTAATCTTAAAGCCCACAGCACATGGGTACCCCCCCCACCCTCTACAACAGGGGTAGAGGAAGCTGCAAAACAGTTTAAGGAGTTGAGAATTCTTATACTGACAGTACGGGCTACAGCTTCCAGAAAAGGTGCTGCCTAAACTCCTTCCATTAACACCCCTGTCTGTGTACCTCATGTCTGCCCTCCCAACACCCTCTACCTGTCCTTGTGGTCCTGGAACCACCACGCAGTCCTGCTGACCCACACAACCCTTCTCCTGCAAAACCTCTGGCTGCTCCAGTCCTGCCTTGTTCCTCTCTGGCATCCTTTTAACAAATACATTTTACCTGTGCCTGCATCCCCCTTGCAATTCCAGATGGGGTCCCCCAGACATACTATGCAACCCTGACCATAAAACCTTGAATCACCACTTCTAACCAGCTAGCCACACAGGCCCATGGAGAAACAATACCTCCTCTTTCATCTTCCTTTGCTCTTCTTTCAGTTTACGCTTGATTTCCTCCACAGCTGCTTTCCTTCGCTCTACTTTCCGCTTGTGGAATCCAGTCAGGTACTCTCTGCAACATAAAAACAACATAAGCACATAAGAATTGCCATATACTGGGTCAGACCATAAGTCCGTTTCATCCAGTATTCTCCATAGAGCCATTGCCATGGGTGCGTACCTGGCGTGCTTCACAGACTTCCCCGACACCTGCCCCTTGTACAAGCAAAAGGAGACCCAGCTGCATGCCTACCTCGAGTGTGCCAGGCTGCAGCCCATCCACCACTTCCTCCGCAACCTCTTGCTGAGGTTTTGGCTCCACTACTACCCATACCTTTTTGTTTATGCACTCCCCATCCATAACCCCACTAAGTCCAGGGACCTCCTAGTCAACCTCCTCCTAGCTTAGCCAAGCTAGCTGTCTACCTAGCCAGGAAGGAGACTCTTGCTGGGAGGACCCAAGGGACTGCAGGGCCATTTTCTTGACTCTGGTTCACTCTCATCTCCAGGCAGAGTTTTACTGGGCAGTGTCCACTGGCTCCTTGGATGCATTTGGGGGCTAGTGAGCATCGTCTGGTGTACTCTGCACTTGTTTTAAAACCTTGACCTCACTCCTGTCCCTGTTTTCTCTTTAGCTATCCCTCAAAAATCAGCTGGTATGTCCCCAGTGGCCTCCCTACTAAGGGAGGCTTATAGTTGCTTCTTGATAGGCCCAAGCCCGTGATCCACTAGGCATATCAAAAGGCTTGTCACCAGGCAGAGATCAGGTGCTGAACAGGAGAGTGAACTGGGTATGACCAGGGTTTACCACCCCCCGGTTCCTCTTTCACTTGCAACCTCAATGCTGGCATTTAAGGTGGAGGAAGTTCCAATTCAGAAGCCGTGCCCCTCACTCCCGCGCTCAACCACTCCCGATGCCCCTTCCCTCCAAGACTTGGGCCCACCCACTCCTTTCGGAGTCTGGCTAAGCTGTCAGCTTCCCCAGCACCCAGGGACAAGAGGCTCTGTACTGAGTGAAAAAAAACAGGCACAGTGCAAGTTAGGCCAGCAGTTCCCCACCATCGCAGATGCAGGGTACCCCCCAACAGACTCTAGATACCCGCAGAAAAAACACCAGCACTGAGCTTCTGCTCGCTTCTCGACTAGGAGAGAAGGGAGCAGTTTTCCGGCAGCAGAGAGCCGGGCTCGGAACACCGCCAGCCTTGTGGGTTCCTCTTGGAAGCACCAGGGTTTTTCTCCCATGCGGTGCAGAGGTGTGCTCGGAGAGCAAGGCTGCCTTAAAGGGACCTGACGGGAACCCCGGCTGAGAATCACCGGGTGCCTTGCCCCTTCCAGCACCCGCAGGAGGCAGGGGCCCAGCTCAGCACGGCCCGCAGCTCTCCATGGGGTGGGGACCAGCCTGCCCCGCGCAGACCCCCTCTGCTCAAGCTCCTATGAAGTGTCCCCAGGACGAGATAGGGGACTGCCTGCCTCGTAGGTGC